TAACTTATTACCATGGAAAAGCCAATAAAAACTTATTATAAATATTGTGCCGTTCCTTTGTGCCCAAATAATATCAAAACTGCACCTGACAAAGTATATTCAGTCATTGTGATGAGTCTTTCTACACGGGAATTTAATCATTTAACACTGAAAACGTATTAGTTATTAACTTAAAATGAAACAAATAATCACCAGAAACCAAATATTACAAATACACACAACTTGTTGACACTCTTGACAGTGTAGGTTGACGTCACGTTTTATTCAACCAATAGCGTTGCGTTTTAGAAATTTGCGAGGGAATCTTAAAAAAGCCAATTTTTGATGATTAAATTTCACTATTAAATTATACTAAATTTCAAAAATAATTGTATGGGTATCTTTTTTTAGCAATAAAAATTACAAATAAAAATATTTTGTCCATTTTGGTGTCACGTGCATATTCCCTATTAATTGCCCATTATGAATTTTGGCACTTGTTTTTTTTGTCATTAATATATATATTAAAAGAATCGCACTGCATTAACCAAATACACTGTTGCAGAAAAAACAAGCCACCGAATGTCTTAATCTCGAAATTTTATTTAAGAATTGTGTAATCGCCTGTACCAATTTTATACCGGTATTAGGGTACATTTTAGAATATTACCTAAATACAATGTGTCTTGGTTCGGACTGTACAAACTTTAGGGGGTGATAGTTTGCTCTACTTTATCACTAAAATCATTCTACAGGTGGGGTCTAAACCCAACGGCCTCTGAATGGCAGCCATTTTTGTATTTTGGTTGACTTTTTCGTAGCGTCCATACTAAAAGTTATGTAACTTTGGAGTTTAATGCCCGATTATCGTAAAACAAAAACTTCCCATAACGGAAAAGTATTAGCAATCAGATAAATAACTCAAATAATTTTAATAATTGCTGTATCATAATAAGATGAATGCTAAAAGATCAACTTTACGTCAAAATTAACATTGTTTTTTAGTATTTCAAGGCTATTACAAAAAATACCCCTGTGAACTATCTCTTATTATGCACGTGTCTCACAGATGGTAAGCTTACCTAAATAATGATACCAAAAACTCGATTCTATGACAACTGGTGTAAGAGATATTGTTGCTCGAACGCAGCCTTTCCGTGCGTAAGATATGAATGAGCACAGCATTCCATGGGGAAGCAGGTAAAAAAATAATTTATTGCGTATTATTGAAGTGAGAAAGGGACAAAATATGATGTGAATACAAAAGAAGCATTCGTCAGATAAAACTCTACTAGGACTACTAGTTTAATTTTTACCAATCCGTTTCTTCTGCTTATTGTGACTACACATAATTTGCTCCTGTGCGTATTGTTCTTCACTTACAAGTGTCGTGACGTTCTAATTATTCGTTATGGGAACTCGTGCTCGTGAATACTCTAGTAGAGACATTGCTGATATGCATTTTGTTTATGGATTTTGAAATGGAAATGCAAGAGCTGCTGTGCGGGAATATCAAAGACGATATCCGAATCGACCAATACCGAATCATCAGACATTCAGTGCAATTCACTCTAGATTAGCTGAATATGGAATAAGGAGGCCTCAAGTTGAACGTAACCCATCTGTACCTGTACATAGTGAAGAAGCGGTGTTGAATTTAATCTTCAGTGATCCTAGACTCAGTATCCGTCGTATTTCAACGCGTTTAGGTATACCACGATGCACAGTCTGGAAGATTTTGAAGAAAGAAGGACTACATCCATATCATTTAAGACGTGTGCAGGATATAAGAGAGTCAGACAATGCTGCACGATCAGTATTCTGCTTGTGGGTAACTCAGAATATGCGACGTAAAACGCATAATGTGGACAGATGAGGCATCATTCACAAGAAGAGGAATTAGAAATTTTAGAAATCTACACTTGTGGATGGCTGAAAATCCACAAATCTGTTAGAACATCAACATTTCAGCATGAATTTTCTGTTAATGTGTGGGCAGCTATGATCGATGATCAATTGATTGGCCCCATCGTACTCCCAAGAAATTTAAATGGCCCAAGATTTTTAGAGTTTCTGACCAATTAATTTTCTGAAGCGTTATTAGAATTACCATTGTCATATCGGCGACGCATGTGGCATCAGTTAGATGGAGCTCCTCCACACTTTGCCCGAGCGGTAAGGGCACACCTAGACCAATATCATCCACAGTGGAATGGCCGCGGCGGTCCTGTAGCCTGGCCACCGCGTTCACCAGACTTAACGCCACTGGACTTTTATCTCTTTGGTTGGATGAAACAGAAAGTTTATTTTGAACCAGTCAACACCAGAGAAGAGTTGCTGGAGCGTGTTCGCGTTGCTGCTGCCGAAATTAAAGATGATCCGAACCAGTTGAGACGGTCAACTAAGCAGGTAGCGATCCGGGCTACTGCGTGCCTTCAAAGTGGTGGGGGACATTTTAAACAATTATGGTAAATGTACATTTGTTATTAAATAATTAATACTTGTTATTTTGTTTATCTTTGCTAACCACTGTAAATATCTAAAGAAAAACCAAATCGTTATGAATTCGCTACATGCACAAGCCTATGTTCCAACAACAATATTTTTTAAACCAATTGTCATAGAATCGAGTTTTTGGTATCATTATTTAAGTAAGCTTACCATCTGTGAGACACGTGCATAATAAGAGATAGTTCACAGGGGTATTTTTTGTAATAGCCTTGAAATACTAATGTGGCGACTCCCACATACAAATAAACAGAAACATACTACAGCGCCATCTAATGAAGACACACCGAACTACGGAGTAACTACTAAAATAAGAATTGCTAATCCTGTATCGCGATATAAAGAATTCCCTCGCCGATTAGTATATATACAACTTCCCAACATCAACCGTTGGGCCGCGGCCCGCCAGGCATGATCACCTCGCCTGGTCGGAGGATCCTCCCTTTGTGTTGGAGGGACATGACACCCGTTCCTCCACACTAAAAAACAATGCTAATTTTGACATAAAGTTGATCTTTTAGCATTCATTTTAATATGATACAGCAATTATTTAAATTATTTGAGTTATTTATCTGATTGCTAATACTTTTCCGTTATGGGAAGTTTTAGTTTTACGATAATCGGACATTAAACTCCAAAGTTACATAACTTTTAGTATGGACGCTACGAAAAAGTCAACCAAAATACAAAAATGGCTGCCATTCAGAGGCCGTTGGGTTTAGACCCCACCTGTAGAATGATTTTAGTGATAAAATAGAGCAAACTATCACCCCCTAAAGTTTGTACAGTCCGAACCCAGACACATTGTATAATGCACGGCCGCATTTTTGTAGCCATCAGAACTCAGTCGAGTTATGTACGAATTGCGATGGTTGTCAGTATTTTAATTGTATTTCGTTAACTATTTAGTGTAAAGAGATGAAATTTCGCATGTGCATAGTTGAATTAATGCACTAATTATTGGAATAGGTTTTATAACGCATTTAATTTAGAATCTCGTGCAATAAGACTGCATAATATTGCATTTGAAACAGTGGTCCAGTCAATCAAGAGTACATCAATGATACTTGATAAGACGTTGTAGGCAATGACATATCATTGGTTGTAGGTGTAAGGTACAAGGTATGTATAAACGTTATAATCTAGACCCTAGTGCATGAGCACTAAGTACTAGGACCTAATAACCTTACTTTACGTTTATATTTATATCTTCTAAATGGTATGGTTTTTTTAAATCTGTTTTACAAACAGCCTAAACAAATTCAAAACAACCTATGAAAAAATATACAGCTCTCTAGAAAAGCGTTTTATATGAAATCTAGCAAATGGCCAAACGTTGTCGCAGCAGAAACCTGAATATCGTCGCAGTTTATTGACGCACAAATTTCATTAAAACATACACAATTACCTCACGTGAAACACTAATTTTTGATACCATTTCTTTTCTCCTACGTCTATAGGGGAAAAATGTGCTTTCAAAACAGTTTTTTTGTGAATAACTCCGCAATGGTTGGATGCACAAATTTTTACTTACCATACACAATTACACGACGTCATACACTAAATATCTGTTAATCTCAAATAATGAAATTCGAACTTTTTCCGCTGGGGCAATGCACACAATTGGAACTTTTTCGTTGGGGCAACGCACCCTGGCACTGGTGTGGTTTCCAAAAAATTGTTAACGACATCCAGTGCAAGTAGTGTGGTCCAGTGTTGTCGTTCACAATACATGGTGTGGTTAACTAATTTAACTTTCTCTTAAGTTTAGTTTCAAATTATTTAGCTATTTTTATTCATCATCCAATTGTCATCCACTGTTGAACGAAGGGCTCCCCCAAGGGGCGCTAACAATCCCGGTCTTGGCCATTTTCGTCAAGTCGTGGGTCCATCGTGGCGCAGGGCGCCCTACGCTACGTTTGCCTAATCGCGATCTCCACTCTAGCACATGTCGGCTCCAGAGACTATCAGTCCGCCCGTAGTCATGACCGGCCCCACTGATTTTCTGTATTTATATATTTATCATGAATTTAAATATGTATAACATACTGAATATTTTTTTCTGAAATTTATTTTCTATTTTACATACTTTATTAGTAGTTTATCCCCACTTCTCAGGTGTGCCTATAACGGTCCCTACATGCACCAACTTAAAAGAAAAAGTAGGCTATTGGCAAGGCGATTTTACAATCCTACAAAAAGGATAGATGGTGGCAAAATGGAGAAACATTTCTTGTGAAAGATTGGGAATGCCATTTACTGTCACATTCCACAATGGAATGACATTGTGGCGACTTCGTGGCGACCCTGAGCAATAACAAGCCAATGCGCTCCAGGGTTGCCACAAAGTTGCTAATTAAGACCCGATTTATTTTCATTCTTTTTTTAATGGTGAACCAAAATGATTTAATTTTAGCCTATTAGGGCCTGGTTTCTTCAATTCTGAGATGCTTCAACTGGGAATGTAGGTGGAAAGGAAAAAAATAAACCAAAAAAATAATTATATATTTTATTTATTTACGGAGATCTTCACTGGATATACCATATTTCTTTTTTAATGCATCAATCTCTTCCTGTTTCTTCTCAATATCCATACCTTTGAATGCTTTATTGGATCTGTAATATAGCACTACTAAATACCTATTACAAACATTGAATCCTGATAGATGATCACAAGCATTTTTTGCATCAAATATGTCTTCATATACTATAAATGCCGTTCCTCTCGTCTCCGGGGTGTTGCCTCTGTAATATATATATATATATTAATCATAAAAAAAAAATTGTTACATGATTTTCTTAATGTTATTGGTAAAGCTACTTGCTTTCACTATCTGCAAATAAAACTCATCAGCATCTTCCTGAACCCCTCCAATGTGTAACATTTTTTTAAGGCATAGGGGCAATTGAGCAGGAGGGTCACCTGGGCGACAATTCTGCTATTTTCATATTGTATCAATAGACTATAGATTGAATGTCTTCTATATCGTCGAATGTCGACTATAGAGGAATAGTTTTGTACTTTTCTTATTCTACTAACTATGTGAGACCAATGGCCTCCTGATGACTTATCACTGATACAAATGAACTGCCACTGATACAAATATCCTTGATGTCTTTGTAATAGTTTGGTAAATGGTACATTATAAATTTGTGAGAAAATGATGTATTTAATTTACCATATATGGTAATGTTGTTTATACCACCATTGTCACTACATCGACACTCAATTGACATTGAATTTACGAGGGGTGATCAATAAGTAATGATAATCGAGTATTTCTAGAACGCACAAAAACCCAAATTATTTTTTTTCTGCTTGCTTATATATCCACTACTTCAGCTTCAAAAAAATGTATAAATAGGACACCATTACCGGGAGATACATTCATTTGAATACGAACTGTCGAAGAGAAAACATCAAAATGGAGAAAAATGAAATAAGAGCTGTCATCAAGTAGCTCTGCCTGAAAAAAATGTCTACCAAAGACATACACAGCGACTTAGAGGAAACATTGGGGGAGTCTGCTCCTCCATATTCCACAGTCGCACGCTGGGCAAAGGAATTTAAGCTGGGCAGAACCTCCACTGAAGATGAACATCGCGAGGGACGCCCTTCCACGTCCCTTACTGGAGAAAACGTCAAAAAAGTGGAAGATATCGTGTTGGCCGATCGAAGGGTGACCGTAAGGCATGTAGCTGAGGTCACAGGGATCTCCTATGGCAGCGTTCAAAAAATCATTGTCAACAAAATGCATATGAAAAAGGTCTCTGCGCGTTGGGTACCGAGAATGTTAACCGACGAGCAAAAAAAGAAACGAGTCGACATTTCGAGGGTGAATCTTCAAAAGTTCCAGGCCGATAAAGAATTTTTTTTGTCGCGTTTTGTGACCATGGACGAGACCTGGATCCACCACTTTGATCCCGAAACCAAACAACAATCAATGACTTGGAAACGAGCTTCCTCACCAACGCCGAAGAAATTCAAAGTGTCAAGTTCAGCGGGAAAGGTTATGCCGTCTGTTTTCTGGGATGCAGAAGAAATTATTATGGTGGAATATTTGGAAAAGGGGGCCACTATAACAGGCTCTTACTACGCAGGCCAAATAAGAAGATTGCGAGAAGCTATTAAGTCAAAAAGACGCGGTAAACTGCGCGCTGGAGTGCTGTTTCACCAAGACAACGCCCCGGCTCACAAAGCCGCAGTTGCGATGGCTGCCATTGAAGAAACGGGGTTCGAACTACTCGAACACCCTCCCTATTCGCCAGATCTAGCTCCCAGTGACTTCTACCTCTTTCCTCGGCTCAAAGAACACCTCCGGGGCAACAAATTTGAGGACAATAGTAAAAGTGATGGCCGCAGTAGAGGCATTTTGGGAGGGTCAAGACAAAGATTTTTTTTCTAAGGGAATCATGGGCTTAGAAAAAAGATACACTAAATGTATTAACTTGCAAGGAGACTATGTTGAAAAATAAAATACTTTTTTTAATCTAATAGTTCTGTTTCATATTGATTATCATTACTTATTGATCACCCCTCGTATGTTAGTGGAATACCAATATTTGGACCGATGTCAATGGCGTTTTAATAGTGTTGTGGCTTGTACGTTAACATAAAATAGCAGAATTGAGATCCTGATAGTCAGTGACTACCGCTAACCTTGGACACTTGCAACTCAACAGTTACAGATGAGTTGCTGCCTTTACAGATGAGTTGTTGCTGCTGAATTCATCCCCCCCCCCCCCCCCCGGCCACCCACTCCCCAAATAAGGAGGAGAGGGACTTTGGGCTCTGGTAACTTAATTCACTAGGTAAAAAGCAATGAAAGAATTACTTTTTACCAGTTTTCTGTGAGGCCGTGATATCAATCAGGTTGAGAATGCCTACCTGTGCCGAAGCATAGATCTTCCACTGAAAATTTGTTGCGTATACTACTAAGACTTATAATTAACTAAATAAGTAATGTTTCTGCAATTGAATAAAATCTAACAATAATGTATACACGTATACAATAACATTTCATTGTTAAAACATTGTAAACTTGAAATTTTACATAAGGCGATGTGATGCATGCAAATGGATTGGATTAAGTATATGTATAACTTTGGGAATAAATTGGCTATACTGGTCTCATTTATGCTTATTCATTGCCAAACTAAATATTTATATAATGTTTACTTAGCAGTAGTATACTGTTCACATCATATAAAATATATTATACTAGTACCCCACTCATAGGCACTACAGCATATTATGCCCACAAACTTTTTCTATCATAGGGTTGAATCAGCTTATTGTATTTTACATATGGATCTAAGGCAGCTAAACACTTACTGACATTTTTACAGCTTAGATAGTTGCGGTATGTGGTAATGCCTTAAAAGGTGTAGTCATATTTAAAGGATGTGTAATATGTAATCAGAAACAAATTATTTTTATTTCTTAACAAAATTTGTTAATTTATTCATATTGTTATAAATACATTAAAAATTAATCCTAAGCATTGAGTATTACATTTAAAACACAGTGCACTTCCATCTAAATTTTATAGCATAGTCTATAAACTAGTGATGTAACAGGATTCTCTGACATTATTTGATTTTCTATTATTAATGGGGAAAATTACACATGCTGTTAATGGCTTGTGTAATTTTCCTATGCTTTTCATGCTTTAAAACAAAACTTCTTACAAATATTGACATTATCATGTACTTACACTCGAATCTGTCTTATGGCACCATATTTCCCAAATATATCATACATTTCCTCAGCAGATATTTTGTATGGTAAATTTCTTACATACAAGATTCTGTTTACTTCTGGTGGCAATCGAACCTGTAATTTAATTAAAATCAATGTAGTGTTTCAATATTATGTGAGGTTAAAAAGTACATTTTTTTATTGCGGTTAGCACGAGCCATTACTAATGTCACCTTAGATTTGTTAATAAGCGGTATTCATCTTTCCGAAGAGCCAGAAACTATCTACGAATGTGAGACTCTGACTGGGTTAGTACATTGCGTGATAAAACTTTAAGGTATATTAAAAGAGACACTGAACACCGAGAAAACTCTTTTTAATTGCTATATCTTCTGATAAAATCAAGTTCAGATTTCCTATTATTTATTTCATATTTTTAACAAATAACGTACTTACATTGGCTCGTCTTTGAAGGGCTAATGCCATTATGTTATGTTGAGATGATTCTTACTACAACATAGACTTAGATGCACTTCTTAAACTATCTGCACTTTTAATTCCTTATTTATTTTTACTTAAAATGACTGTCTGTGAAACGTGAGACGTTTTACAAATTTAACAAATACCACAGAACATTAATATTTAATACTATCCCCGCAAATTGCTAATGCGCCTGGCCGCCATTTTGGTGACGTATTTTGTTGACATTGACATTAGACACTCTGTACCGTTAGCATTATTCTGGCTGATGCGAATTGCGAGGGACGCGTATTTATTAAATTATTAAATTTATATTAAATTGAATTGATTTTTATTAAATTGAATCAAAATCTAACCTAATTATATTATTAATATAGTTATATTACTAATAAACATTGAAAATCACACAAACATTTTTCATTTCTTAGATAGATACCTATTTCCAAGGTGTGAGATTAATTAAATGTCATCAAATATCAGTTTTTTCGTAAAATGTAATCTTACAATAAATGTCATTTCAAATCTGTCAAACTTAATAATTAACCTATTAAATTTACAATTGCATTTCTTTTTTAGCAAGCTGTACTTTTCTATTTTGGATGACGTCACGTGGCTCTTAATGTGACAAAGTTCCTGCGCATTAGCAATTTGCGAGTATAATAACAATATATTGACGACAAACACTGTGGTGTTGCCAGACATATCAGTCAGACTCAGTTATGAACAGAGAAAAATAATTCCATTAGGCATAGAGCAACACAGGCACAGCCACCGGCGAACGGTGTTGCTCTATGCATTTAGGTAGCTGGTTATAAAAAGAAAAAAATTGATAGGAACTGTATGTTAGGTAAATGAAAAGTTAACCTTTAACACGTTCCCTGTCCGCGTATAAAATCGTGATCATACCTAAATGTCCACTTCAGATTTTGATTATGATAGCATAATATAGGTAAAAATTATACGACTACACATAGAAACCACAAAACAAAAAAATAAATAGACATACACAAAAAACACATATGAGACACACAACAATCATTGCCGTTCAGTTGGACCGTTTGTGTTTTGGACGTTGATTCGGAAACTAGGTTTGTGGATAAATCAGACCCATGTAAAACATTTCCTAAAGTTAATTTGTCTAACTCGTAGGTCAGCATTACCTCATATTTTTACCAATAATTTCCACAAAGTTTAGTCATCTGGTGTCATTTTGCGACACAAGCGCGCAGTACGGACGCTGAGTATACTAACTTTAAGCCACGCCCACTGTGATGACGTCAGGACCTAGTTAGAATCACAATGCACAGTTGCTCAGGCCCTCTCCTCTGTACTTGCACAACTTGATAAGCTTAAGCAACTTCAAAGTATCTATATACGATTTCTATTTTGACTAATAAAATATTATTACGTTTCTGAATTCTGGCAAAAACTCAAGTGGCTTCCGATTCGCTCTCGCTAGAATACTCATTTTTCTCTGTAACATCTTGTTCAATCCCAGAGCCCCCTTTTACCTCAAAGAACGGTTCAAGTTCCTTCATCATGACACACATGAAAAATATCTGAGGTCATCCGAAGATATTTCGACTTGAGATGCCTCTGCATTCTAGAAAATTTTAAGACCATTTAACTGTTGAAGATGTAAGCTTGTGGAATGCATTGCTAACAAACATCAGGCGAGCGCCAACAAAAAATAGTTTTTAGAAATCTGTTCAAGAATGTTATGTATCTTAATTATGTCAGCTACATATTAGGGTATGATGGGAATGTTATCTTTTTTCAGTATTGCAATCCTAGGCATCGAGATATCGAGTGAAGTCCAGTTTCGCGATCATTTAGAGGGTAAGGTCAAATTGGCCTCGAAGAAACTCGGTGTGCTGAACAGATCGAGGCTGTATTTAACTCCAGCCCATCGCTTCCTACTCTATAAGGCGCAAGTCCGATCGCATATGGAATACTGTACTCATCTCTATGCAGGGGCACCACATTACCAGCTTCTCCCTCTGGACCGTATCCAAAGAAGAGCGACTCGAATCGTCGATAGCCAAAAGATTTGCGACCGGCTCGATCTCTTGACGTTACGTAGAGATGTAGCTTCGTTCTGCATTCTCTATCGTATAAATCATGGAGAGTGTTTCGAGGATTCGTTCGGACTAATACCGGCCGCAACCTTCCGCCATCGTTCAACACGGCAATTTTTATCCCCACCACTTGGATAATTGGCGCTCCACCACTGTGCGCTTTCAATCTGTGTAACTAGTTATCGATTGCGGTATTGCCGGACCTTCAAACCTTCAAGAAAAGAGCGTACTCCTTCCTCAAAGGCTGGCAACGCGCTTGTGACTCCTTTTTTTTCTGTGCGGAAATTTCCTCGGATACTACGTACCGGTGTGGTTCTGTCGGACTCGAACCCACTAAAAACCGCACACCGTCTCGGGTACCAGTAATCGGGGAACCAGGTGTACTCTAGAAAGGAAATCCCTGGTACCCTGACGTACCTCGGGCCATCTACGGCGGGTAGATGACCCCCATCTGTGTGGGAACCTGAATGTTCCCTTGGTGCTCCCAAAAGGGCACGCGAGCCCCCCAGCGCGTCTCGCCGCCACCCCGGCCTGCTTCTGCTAGGGTGTCAGATGGCCTCACCTGTCACCCCCAGGCCTGCGCTTATGGACGGACGTCGTTCTGCGACCTCTGGTGCCTGAGCCGCCTGCTGTACCTGCCTGGGCCTGGCAGGCCGGGACATCTCGTTCGCGCTTGTGACTCCTGAGGCAGGGCGTTCATGGGCCCCTGGATAAGACGGAGGCTCTCTTGTTCCATCGGCACCGTCGTGGTCCGCCCCCGGTGCCTCCATCGTGGTCGATTCGGTCCTCGTCCGGTTCAGGCCCAGAGACTTCATTTTTGATGGCTCTTCGACCAGCACTTCCGAAAGCTGGTTGTCGCTGCATCTGCCCTAGGGCGACTTTTACCTAATTTGGGTGGAACCAGCGTCGCAACGAGATGGCTATACATGGGGTATGTCAAGTCAATGGCACAGTACACAGTACGGTGCACCGGTGTGGGCGGTGGCTCTGACCACTCAGAATAGGGCACGCCTCTGGCGCCCTCAGGGGATATTGGCGGTTAGAGTCATACGGGGTTACCGCACCGTTTCGACGGAGGTGGCATGCGCATTGGCCGGTCTTCCCCGTGGGATTTGGAGGTTGTAGGAGTATATCGGCGGACGACTGAGTCCCGGGCGGATAGTGGCAGACGGCTCCCGCCCGAAGAGATACGCAAGTGGCGTGAGGCCCCTCGCCGAGATACGATGGCTCGTTGGTGGTCCCGGCTGGGGGATCCACGTGCTGGCTTTGCCGCCGTGGAGGCTGGCTTTTCCGGGCACGGCTGCTTTGGGAAGTACCTGCGCTCGGTCGCTAGGAGGGAATTGAGTCCCGACTGTTACTACTGAGATCGCAGTGAGGACTCGGCTTAGCACACGCTGGCAATTTGCCCTAATTTTCTTCGAAATCGTATCAGTGGTTAGCAAAAAGAGCAGGGCATATACTAACCTCCGTTTAATAGAACTGCGTGGCCGCGCAGTTCTCCATGTTTTGACCGCGCTGCCATGGTTAAACCCTTACAACTTTCTGAATATTGGTGCTACGAATTTGCATTGTTAGTATTTTACAACTTCATAATGTTGACGTAGGTAGTATTCTTTCTACGACAATGTGGCCGAGCGGTTGTAACGGACACTATGTAAGGTACGTAAACCATAGAGCAACAGGCCACCGGCGGTCTTTGTTGCTCTATGACAGGGGTGGCCAACAGGTCGATCGCGATCGACCGGTCGATCGCGACTGTTAGTCCAGTCGATCGTGGCAAGGCAAAAAATATAAATACGTAGACCAGACTGCCCAACGTAATCATCTACTGCTGGACGCATCATCTTGTATAATTTTTCAATCGCTGTTCCGTCACGGTATTTATCCTCTATTACCAATAAGCGGGAAGCGTGTGGGACGCGGGGGAGGGACGGGAGGGTCTCAGTCAGTCAGTTGACAGTTGACGACAGAGACTACCGGGGTTACGACGTTTCAACGATTATCGATGTAAATCACGATTAGACTTTGTATTTGGCACGCCTCATAATTGTTTACGTACATAATGAATAAGTGGTTGAAAAGAAGCGCTGAAGGAACATCAAATGAAGAAAGAAATGCTTCTGAAGGTTCATCAAATAAAGTAAGTTAATATTTTTAATATTGTTATTACTGCAAACAGACCTCTCAATAATCCACCTACACTACAAGAATTATATACTAGAAAATATTGTTCGCTGGTTAACTTTGTGCCATCATTAGGAAATTTATTCTCATTAAATTGGATTTCTACATTTGTTATTATACAAATTATGTTCCTAATATTTTAATTTCATTTTTTACAGATTTTTGATAAATGTGCTCCAAGGAAATCAAAAGCTTATCATTTTCACCAAGAATGGGAATTGAACTACTTCTTTACTATGGTGAAAGAAAACTGTTGCTGCCTAATATGCAATACATCCCTGCCAATGCCCAAAAAAGGAAATTTAGAGCGACATTTTAACACAATGCATAGTAAATATCAGACTGACTTTCCACCTAACAGCGAAATAAGAAAGAGTAAATTGCAAGCACTGGAATCGCAATTAAAAGTCCAAGAAAACATGTTTTCTGGACCTATTGAGCAACTGAAGTTTCTTTCTAAGTAAACTACAGAATTGCACAAAAGTGCAAACCTTTCTCCGATGGAGAATACATCAAAAAAATCTTCGAAGAAGTGTCAGATTCGCTGTTCGTGAATTTCAAAAATAAAAACGAAATTAAAAAAGATGCGCCGTATAGAAATAATAAGTAAGAACTTAAACGAACAACTACAAAAAGATATCGCCCGCTGCGTTGCTGTTTCGCTTCAATTTGACGAGTCAACAGATGTCACTGATACTGCACAATTACATGTTTTTATTCGGATGGTCTTCGAAGATTTCTCGACCAAAGAAGAACTGCTAGGTATGATTTCCTTAAAAGGAAAAACTCGTGGTCTTGATATACATATTCACGGAATTGAAAGCATATATTTGCCAGATTAAGCTATGCATGTATAAACTCGTATCAATGACAACTGATGGAGCTCCTGCAATGGCAGGTATTCATAATGGTTTTATTGCTCTTTGTCACAAAGACGAAGATTTAACAGACTTCATTAGCTACCACTGCATAATTCATCAACAAGTACTGGCTAGTAAGAGATTAAACACGAAACATGTGATGGGTATTTCTTTTAAGATTGTAAATTCCATAAAGGGAAATCCCTCTTTAAACAGAAATTAGATGAGAAGGAACCAGAATTGGCAATGCACACTGACGTGAGGTGGTAGAGTCGAGGCAAGTTTTTGCAAAGATTTCGAGATCTATTGGACGAAATAATAAAATTTCTTGATGAAAGGGGTGATGATTGTGTGATTTAGACTAGCAATGTGATTTAGCTTTTTTGGCAGATTTTACTGGAAAACTGAGTACATTAAATCTGAATCTACAAGGCAAGAATAAAACATTAACAAAAATGATGAGTTCTATTGCATCGTTTCAATGTCAAACAGCGTCTATGATAGTTGACATAGAAAAGAAAAAATTTGAACAATTTGTTAACATCAAGGATCATATGGAAAAACATCCTACCTACAATTTCATTTCTGAGAAATATACGTCAGAAATTAGGGCAGTGGTAGTTCGCTTTGGTGATTTCAGAAAAATTGAGATTTGCAGATACATTTCAAATGGAGCACATGATGTTACAAAACGAAATTATTACTCTGCGCTGACACATATTTTTTAAAGCAAGGTCATCCTCAGGTCAAGATTTCTGAGCATTGGTTTCCAACGAAAAATATCCAAATTTGAAGAAATGTGTTGAACAACTTCATTCGTGTTTTGGTTTAACATATTTATGTTTGTCAGCATTTTCCTACTTAAAGCAAATAAAAAGTAAACACCGTTCTCGCTTGACAGACGCTCATACATTGGATTCTCTAAGGTTGGTAATCTCCAACTACAAACCTGATTATGCTAAACTAGTGGAAGATACTCAGACGCAATGCTCACACTAATATATATATGTAAATAAGTAGTTACTAAGTATAATTTTCACATTTATGTTTTTTCTCTTAATAAAATAAAAAATGCTACATGATTGTGTACTGAACTGTTTCATTTAAGATTTCGAGAAGTATGTAATTGGTAGATCGCACAGGGTCTCGTTAGTGAACAAGAGATCTTGGGTCCAATCAAGTTGGCCACCCCTGCTCTATGACGTCAACGGTCGGTTGAAAACGTGTTAGTAACATACGCTGTAGAACATAATTATCATGGTATAAATATCAGTAGGTAACTAATTAATTATCTACATGTAAGCCTACAGAAATGTGTATTTTAATAGTTAAAAGACAAGACAGAAAAATCTTATGTAGAACTGTCGGAAAACAAGTGTAAACTTGCGACCAAAAAAATAGTACCCAAATATATTTGTTAATGTAATTGTACAACTCTCTTTTTTGCATGTATTATATTTCTTTGAATGCGTAAAAAAACATAGGCATTTAATTACTTTATTTAATATCTAAAATAAAATATTAGATATAAAGTAAGGTAAAAGTAAACATTTGTTGTTAAAATGACGACAAACTATTTTTTATGCTTCTATGTAGAAAAAAATCGCCTTTAGACAAATACATTTTCTTGATCTTAGAATTCACTCGAGGTAAATATTCCAATAATATAGGTATTTAATATATTCCTTCGATTAGCTCCAGACCAGCTAAAGCAGAGCTGGTGCTAGTCATAGGTTCAGAGAAAATAGGGCTGTGGCTAGGAGTGATTTCATCATCGTCATCGTCGAGTTTTTAGCTTAGTTAATAATTCAAGTACTGATAGATGTTTTTGTTGCCACTGCAGTCTGTTTCACAGTTTCAACATATTTCTTGCCGTCTTTAAAAAAGCAATACTCATACACCATTTTTCTGGCTTGTTTCTTGAAAACTACGTTAATTTGACCTCCTTTCTAAGGAGAGGCCTATGTCCAGTAAGGAATTTTCTAAGGCTGTTGATGTGATATGATGTGACACTGTATATATTTTATAAATAACAAATTTTAATTCAAATGAAAACTCAACAATATTAATAACGGAATCAATGCGCTCGAAGCCTGTTGACTGCCGAGTACCGGCAGTCAACAAGCCGCGGACGCAGCGGGAGACGCGAGGGTCGACTACCAATGGCACGATTAAAACGACGGTTCCCGCAGTCGCGCCCTGCATTACAAAACCAAAGAGACATTGTTCAAGATGTTGTCAACTTATACATGGGTACAATATTTTTAAATTTGAGGAAGACAAAAATACGGCTCCAGGAATTAATAAGCTTGAGAATTTTAGGTGGTGCTTACTAAGATAGCAGCTGAGCGACAACTTGATTCTTGCGTCCTAGGCTGCAGTTATATTAGCCATAAGTTGATAAGCCAGGCCCTGTGTAATTCCAAAAACCATAACATTTATCAATAATACACATAAAGGTGTGATTCCGAACTCGGCAACAAGCAGCAGTGCTGTTGCCGCAGTGCTGCCACTAAGGTGCTGCCCAACAGTGCTGCCTGCCGCGCTAATTCCGAGCAAGGCGGCAGTGTCGCTCTGTTCGTGGTGATGCGTTGTTGTGTATTCGTTAGTTTACTTTGAGTTTACAAGATGTCGATTGATGACCAACTTTTATTTATACTGTTGGAAGAGGAAGAAGATGACGATGATTTGTTGTTGCTTTATGCCAATAGTAAAAGAAAAGCACCAGATTTGTTTTATAAAAGCAGACAACGGGAAGGATGTTACAAGACGCTGATTAAAAACCATTTGATAGGCGATGAAGAAAAAATCAGAGAGTACTGTCGTTTAAATAAAAAACAGTTCAGTTTTATTCATAGTTTAATTGCTGACAAAATTGAAGCAAAAGTTTCTCGCAAGGAAAAGTTTCTCGCGGCGGCAGACGCGTCACTGACTGGTCTGTCGCGGCGGTAGGGCGACACTGACGCGCAACAGTGCTGCCGCTACATTGCTGCCGAGACATTGCTGCCTAGCTCGGAATGTAATCTCATATAAGCTTATAGAGATTGTATGGGGACCAGTAGTGCCGCGACAGCACTGCTGCGGCAGCACTGCTGCGTGCAGCGTAGTTCGGAATCATACCTTAAGACACAGATATATCAATTAGGTATACTATTTATTTAAGTAATCCATAACAAATTAACCTAAGCCGGTAGGTACATATCCTTAAACTAATATCCTATTTTTGAATGATTATCATCAGTGACTGTAAAACGTCGTGACCGTTGGTTGTGAATTAAAATTGCACACACGCATAAAAGCAGCAATAGTATAACTGCTACTCCACACAGAGCAAACACACCTCCGCGAAGTCGGCTCTCACCTGCAACATGTAATAATCATTCAAAATTAACGTAGAGGGAGTCCATTATCAGATCCAGTCTTTAATTGGGATGGATTTTTAGGCCTTAACATATATAGGACTTAACGCTCTGTCCTAATCTCGGTGAACACAATTACGAGTATTTGTTAGTACATTCTTTTAATAACTGTCAAATTTTAGGGGGCCTGTTGGTCTAGTGGTTAGTGACCCTGACTGCTAAGCCGGAGGTCGTGGGTTCGATTCCCACCCAGGACAAATATTGTGTGATGAGCACGGTCATTTGTTCTGTGTCTGGGTGTAATTTATCTATAATATGTATGTATTTAAAAATATATAAGTATGTTTATCAGCGGTCTGGTTACCATAGTACAGGCTCTGCCTAGTTTGGGATCAGACGGCCGTGTGTGAGATGTGTGAGATATATTATTATTATTATTCTCTTTATTAAATTATATATACATATTAATTACATTTTTAAATATATTACAAAAGAAATAAAAATACATTTAAAAATATAAAAAATAGTAGACCACCGACATCGGGTACAGGTACCAAGACACCAGTGGTTAGGACTGCAAAGATAGGAACCTCCTCACTATACGAGCCGTGTCAAGGAGGACTACCTTCTGTATCAGACCCTTGATCCAGCCGTCCAACGTGAGCCTCTTAAGGTGTTGGTCGAGGCTCTTGGCTATCAATCCGTGAGCAGATACGACTATCGGAACAATTATCACTGAATCGACATTCCACATATCGACAATCTCGTGAGATAAATCCAAATATTTTATTTGTTTTTCTTTTTCAACTTTCACGAGATTCTCGTCATGAGGAACGGCGATATCAACAATCATTGCGCGGCGCTCTAATCGATCTATCACTACAATATCAGGCTTATTAGCAACAATAGTCCTGTCTGTGATAATAGAGCGATCCCAATACAACGTGGCCCGACCATTCTCGAGAACTGGGTCGGGCACATACCTGTGGTATGGCACCTCTAGATTCACAAGATGGTATTTAAGGGCAAGCTGTTGGTGTACAATCCTGGCTACTTGGTTGTGCCTATGCAAATATTCACCGTTAGCAAGACGAGAACAACCAGAAATGATATGCCTGATTGATTCCCCAGGACGGTGGCATGCCCGACAGATGTCAACCGTACCATCTTTCAGGATATATTTCCGATAGTTATTCGTCATGATAACTTCGTCCATAATCGCACAAACAAAACCTTCAGTTTCTCCAAAGAGATCACCATACCGTAGCCAAGTCGTAGATGCTTTAAACTCTATATCGGACCCGTTTAGGGCCCGATAAAACCGGCCATGGAGCTCTTTGCCCTTCCATACTTCCCTACGATCATTAGTACTAAATACTACAGGTTTGCGCCAATTCTCTTTAGCCAGAGCGAGCGGGGTGAATCCGATATCCACTGCAACTACATTGCGATGCATTCCCACATCGGTATGTAGAAAATATTCTTTGAGATTGCATATCTCCCGATTGTGTAGGGTCTTGATATTTAATAATCCGCGACCCCCTAGCTTTCGCGGGATATACAATCTCATAACCGATGAACGTGGGTGGTGCATTCGAAATGCAGTCAGCAATGTACGGACTCTCCTATCAAGGGCATCTAGTTCGGTCTGAGTCCATTTAAGTATACCAAAGGAATACATCAGAATCGGCATGACCCAACCATTGCAGGCTCGCACCTTGTTGCCCCCTGATAAAAGACTTTTAAGTACTTTTTTCAAGCGGCCAAAAAAGCGTTCCTGCAACGTTTGTTTCATGTCAGATTCTGGTATGCCTAACGACTGTGATATACCCAAATACTTGTAAGTTTCAGTGGCAGACAGAGATCTGAGTTTTGTTGAATCGGAAAGCTCTATTCCTTCAGATTCTACTATCTCACCCTTCTTTACATACATGACTGCACACTTGTCTACACCAAATTCCATTTTGATAGAATTACTAAAGTTTTCCGTCACCTTTAGTAACGCTGACAATTGTAATTTGGTGGGGGCTAGTAGTTTCAAATCATCCATATAAAGAAGGTGAGATATAACTTGATCATCTTTCTGCAACCTATAGCCTAGCCCTGAACCCTCTAATAAAGTGCTAAGAGGGTTCAAAGCCAGGCAAAACCACAAGGGACTCAGACTATCACCTTGAAATATACCCCGCTCGATCTTTATTGGTGCATCAATTACCGTCGTCTGCCGACATCCTGGATAACGAAGCGCTGTTCTCCATTGCCCCATACATGACTTCAAGAAAGTGCACAGAGTTGTATCAATTTTATACAACTCCAGCACCCTCAAAAGCCATGTATGTGGAACCGAGTCATAAGCCTTTATTATTATTAATTATTATTATTATTAAATGCCCTTATAAATCACCACACTTTATAAAACAATATCCCCGCGCCGCGTCTGTCTGTCTGTTGTACATAAATAAAAATCTCACACATTTAACACTCATTCACATCACAGAATAACATAGAAATAAAGGATGTTTCTTTCTTTCTTTTATTTCTTCATCTCAAAGATACAATTTTTTTTATTTGTTGAAATATTTCGTAATCACATTTATTAATCTCTTATGATCTCTAAAATCCAATTTAAACATGTAATATAAATATAAAATATCTTGAAAGAATACAAGTTAAGGTCAATACGTGATTATACTATTCCAAGAATTATCCCCTAACTCCATACACGAATATAACGATAATGAATGACAGCATCACATCATCAGCCTCGCTTATCTGTAGTCCATTGACGGCCATAGGCCTCTCCCAAGGGCGGATCCAGCTTTGGTGCCAGGGGGGGGGGGGGGGTCATATAGTCGTGGTCAAGTCACAAGAAGTTATAATTTAATTTTTATAATCATACATAAAAGTAAAAAGTAGGTATTTCATTAATGCATGTATAGTCTGGGAAAAACGGGTAGAAACGGCAACTAAAATTTCATTACTTTGGAAACCCTTTCTCCACTAATCTATGGTTAAGAACGGGTTTCTTGTCTATGGTACAGGTACCGAAGACGTCAGTCAGAAGTAATAATTCCTTCTAAAAGACAATTTATCTTTTTCGCCAGACTATAAGTACCTACTCACCTACTGTACTTAAAAATACCTATATTTAAATCACAAAATCAAGTTTTCTTTTACGTTTTCTCCCGAAACGCGTTATCACTTCATCTACTTCAATGGGTACGTTTTTATGGACGTGGAGAAGTGCCAGTCCGGTTAGACGTTCTTCAACCATTGAAGCTCTTAGCCACGATTTAATTCTTCGTAACGTAGAGAAAGATCTTTCATGAGTTCAACACATCTAAAAAATATTTACCCCTAAACACTGACTTACAGTGTCACACGAAATGTGACATCAGATGACAGGAGGCGGTGGCGCGGTAAAATTCAAATTTTCGTTCCCGAATAATGCGTATGCCATTATACAAAATATTAATTTATAATAAATTGATTAAATATTGAAGGTATTTACATGAAATCTATATTGTGACAAAAAAATATATCCTTACTTAAAACCATTACCTATGTTTAATAATTTTAAATAGTGGTCCACGGTGGACCCAGCCCATGACCCCTATGACCCCCCCTGGATCCGCCCTTGGCCTCTCCTTAAAAAGGAGGTTTTGGCCTACTATACCTACCACGCTGTCCAGACGGGTTGGTATAGGATTTCTTTGAAGTTTTCTTTCTCTTTGCAGTCATGTTGTTCTGCAGAGTTTACTCTCTTAGTCGCCTCTTACTACACCCACGGGATGGATAGGGCTTGTGACACTCCGTATGCTTAATCCATCACCGCACGGACGTAACAGATCGTTATTTTTTATTTATCGATGTAAGAATATTCAAGAAGTGTCATTAAAGTGCTACATCTATTTTAATTGTAAGTGTTAATTGTACATAGTCAGCTATAAATATATAACGCGATATGTACCTTTGTCGGAGGAAAGATGTTCACTTTTTTCGACAACTTTTAGTACTTTGGACAACTGAGGCAGGTAATGTAGCCAGAATTTGACATCTCTATCAGGACTGCGATAGTTAATGCTGGCAATTCCACTACTACGTATGTCATAAATATTTTCATCATTAGGCTTGTACTGTCGCCACAATTTACCATCTCCCGGTACACTAAAACAAAAACATTTAAATATTTATGTGCAGGATTTTATTTCTCATTTAGCTGAAATAAAGCAAATGTTTTTTGACAACACTTGACAGACGTTTGCGCTCTGTGTTTAAAGATAAAGACTAAACTCTTTGACTAAACTAACTACATTAAACTAATCTGTGGACTAAATGCCTGAAACGACAGACCGCCACCGATTATATTAGATTAGGTTTACATTTTACAATTAATTACATGTTGAAATAGGTAATAAATTGAGGAAAAGGAATATACTTATTGGATAATAAATATTCAGATGTACATAAGTATAAGATGATTATTTCATAAACTGCGTAACTAAAAAAATCGAATGCTAATATCTTTTTTCCTAGCCTTTCTCAAACAAAAATTGTTTTACATATAGATTTCAAAAAAAGCAGATTTTTTAAATATTTATTTTTCAACTATAGACTTCATTTTTAAATAGTTCAAGTCAGATGACTTTGATAAAGGCATTTCTAATCATTTTTATTAACATTTTTTATTATAAGTTTTAATGTCCAGCAATTTTAATTAGTAAGGAACTTTTTACTTTTTAAATGATAAATAAATGTACATTACCCAAACTTGATGAAATTTACTATATGATTCCGAAACTGTGATGATATTCGTATTTCTTCAGCTGTTGCTGGTCGACGTGCAACTTGAAGCATCATGGCGTCACCTAATAGCGTCACCAAATCTGATCCATGGACAGCGCCTGTCGTCAAAGCATTAATAAAAAAATTATCTACTTACTATTCTATGCCGATTGGTTTGAAAATGAAAGGAAGTAGAACCTGTTAAATTATATTGCAATCCCCGGATGTCAACTCCTGCTGGTTGAGAATAACGATAAACATATAGGCGACCAACTCTTCTTGCTAATCGTGAGGCAATTAGCGCAATTCCAGCACCCCATTGAACTGATGATTCAATACGAGCAAGTGATTCAATTGCGTTAAGAATATTTCCATCTTTTTTAGACTTTTCGATCCAATACTCCCATCGAATTGCTTCTGTTAGCTGCAAAGGTTACAGTATTAATAAAATATCGGTAAGTCGTAATAGTATGTATGTTTACCAACTAAGTTTACATCTAATGAGTAGTGTAGTAAAAAAAAAAATCGAAGTTTAGTGATTTCGTTAGGCAGCTTCGATCATAAAACTAATCATAAAAACAAAGTTAATATCCAATACAAAAAATTACGAACCATAGGCAATGCAGCCGAGTCCATAGAAAATAGACCTAAGATTTCAGGTATCAATTTATTATTAACGTAGTCGGAGATATACAATTTGCCTCGTTTTATTAGTTCATCATGTTTATCATCTAAAACCAACATTAGTGTGTCATCAATATGTGACAGAACAACAACCTTGAGTTTTAGTGAAATTTTCCATACCATTGTAATTTAATATTTCAAGGTCGTTAGCTCCTAGTAGCACATCGAGTTGCAAGTTTTGTTGCGTAGATGTTGACAAAGCTACCAATAATGAATTAGGTAAGAACTGTTCAGATTCTGGTAAAAAAGTATCAGGTATTGGTTGCATAGCCCTTATCCAAGTTTCATTCTGTAATAAATTTTAAAACTGATTAAAGTAGTAATTATTGTTATTTCGATGTACTTGTTATAGGATTTGTAGGATAAAGAATGATTGAAAACACCGTAACAAAGTAATGCTTCGGCACAAATGGGCCGGCTCGATCGGAGTGATAGAACGACCTTACAGAAAACCTGTTCAATTATATCTTTGCTTTTCACCTAGATTCTGGGGGGGGGGGGGGAGGGGTCTCGAAGCGCGGCAACGCACTTGTGACTGAAGTTGCAGGCGTTCATGGGCGGCCGTAGTCACTTACCATCAGGTGACTCGTCGGGTCATTTGACCCCTATAATATCAAAATAATGCATTCAGACTATGTTAGTCATTAATTAATTGAGGTTAATAAAAATTCTCAGACCAGGGGTTTTTGATTAATTTTATTAAGGCCTAAATCTAACTAGGTTAAAACAAATGAAGTACCTACGAGATAAGGAACGCTAGTCCATGGTGGACAAGATTATTGAGGAAGATCCTATTCTGTAATTTATAGTTAAACACCGTTCGCGCAAATTAGGATAAGTAAGCTGTACAGATTTCGTTTTGGAAAATACAAATTATTTCATACCATGTCCCGTAGAGAATTAATCTGTTTTAGCTTGTCAAGTACTGAATGGTTTAAAATAAAAATACCGACACACGCCAGTGGAATACCGATTAAAAAGGTGCCTGTTAAGGACGCGGGGAAGGTGTCCGTGCTGGACCAAAGTGCTGAAACAAAACTGGCACCGTTGAGTTAATTATGATTCATGGTAACGTACAATGACTAATTTTATTTCAGTAATCTGTGGCAAATACTTTCTCATGAATATATTTTACCGAATAGATCGACAATATGTCTGCTAAAGGGCGTTCACGCATACAGCGCAAGATTTCCTGATCTGTGTCATTGTCACATCGCAACAACTGCGCAATTTCCCGAGAGATTCGTTCAGCTTCAGCTACTTCAATAACTCTTTGTTCATCCATAGCTTTCCAAATATCAAATGGTGACATAATAATGGCTCGTTGGAATAAACCTGCGAGAAAAAAAAGTCGGTAACTCAAACTAGTTGTAGTCTATTATTCATTGTCGTATACTCGAAGAGAAATAACTCTCACCTATAGTTCGAGGTGATGTTATTTGATGTAAAGCACTGACAGCACCTGCTGTATGCCCAAGTAGGGTTATTGCAGTCGGATCACCACCGAATGCAGCAATATTGTCACGTACCCAAAGAAGAGCTAAATACTGATCTAAGAGTGCCAAGTTGCCCCGAGCTGATATTGATCCTAAGGTAAAAAATGCAAGCAAGTGAAGACGATACATAACTGTAACAACTACTATGTCTTCGGATGCAAGCTCTTGGCAAGGCAGTGATATTCCCCCCCTAACCCATGATTCGGTATATAATATCACAACCACTGGTAGTGTTTTCCCATCAACACGCTACCTGGAAAACATGAGAGTTACAGTACGTTTTAAAGTGCATCCTTATTTTATTCACATTGTTATCCGTATTCAGATAACCGTACCCGAGGTGTCCATATATTGAGGAAAAGGCAATCTTCACTGTAATTGTCTTTATCTTGGTCTCCAATATGTGGACAATGGGGAGGGATTCGATGAGCACTGAACGTGCGGCTCCAACCCGTATGCCTTTCTGGTGCCTGTAACATCAGTGTAAAATACAATTTAACACACTAACAACTGTTAATTACTAAATGGCATAATGAGTCTTGAATCTTGTAAGCTTATGCATTCTAAAGCCCAGTGGGGAATGGAATACAATATATGCACCTATCAAAAATATTATATCGAGTTCATTGGTAAATAATGTTAACAACTACATTATATACAAATGAACATGTCAGGTAAAGTAAATTAGTTAAGTGAGTTTTATGACTAGTTGGCCAGTCTTGATTATAAAAGCGTTGTCATGTCTATACAAGTCACACAAAGTTATTTATGATATACTAAATTCATATTTACACAGTACCAAACAGAGTTTTCCCGCTTAATGTATTTTAAATTTGTAAATGTAAGATCACAGAAATTTTAAAAGTGCTGATTTGAATGCATACCGAAAATCTATAACGACCCTTTGGAGCTGTAGCATAGGGTACACCGTAGTAAATTTCCACTGGTATTGATCCTTTCGTATAGGTTTTGATCTGCATATATTATTAAAATAATTAGTCAACCACATGTAGCAATACAGAGAGACGGCATTTGAAAATAGAATGTAGTACTTACTCCTATTATCCGACCTTGAGGTATATTAACAACAGGCTCTTGTGCCAATACCTTTGCAAATATAAAAAGCACAAACCAAAAGCCCAATAAAACGAAATGCCACATCACTATACAGAAAAAAATATACGAAAACAAAAAATATGTAATTTGAACTTTTTAGTAAAGGTTTGTGAAACGGTTACATATGAACTGATGGTAACATAGAATGTAACTGATGTTTTGTCACTGATGGGCACTGACCGTAATGAGAATGTGTGTAGTTAGTATTTACCTTTATAAATAATGGAATGCACGACACTGGACACAAAAAAAATATCGTACAATGATTGCGCTCTGGTCCATGACGACAGTAGGTATGTAACAATGACTGGCTATATTGTTCTAATTTCACCAAACAATTCAAAACGTTATTATATTCAAAAATGCAAAATTACAGATTCAGTAAATTTTAATAGTAAACAGGTTGCTAATGAATATCTATCTAACTTGATTATTTATTTTATAAGTAGATAGAAGTTTGTAAGTAAAAAATATTTTCCAAAATGTTGAGAGACGACAGTATTGTAAAATAATAAACAATATTAAAATGAAATCTTGTTTACATAAGACTTGCAAATTTGACTTCACCATTTCACGATGCGGACGCCAGACCACTGTAGTTTTTATACTTTTACTGTGCTGTATGCGATGTCCAGCTTCTTCAATAATATTTTATAGTAATAGTGAATAGGTTGATTATTTGCGAAGCCTATCGTGGCTAACATTAATCCGTAGCCAAGTAGTATGGAAAAAAGCTTGTGCCTGGACAGCCACTGACGAAACCCACCAACTAAAAGAAAAATATTTGTAAACATTAGCACTAAAGAGTCAGACTGAAGAAAGTATGAAATTGTGATAACCCTTAGGTTGCTAAAGAGACTGCTAACTACTGAATGATGTTACATAATGTGTGTAAACATTACTGATAGGTTGCTAGTTTGATAAATGAGTAGACAACTTTACCGAATGATGATTTTATTGCTACTAAATTGCCTACATAAATTAAATGTGTAAAATGCCTATGCAATACAAATGCGTGAATGCAAGCTAATTTCGTTAACTATTAAGGTAAAAAATATATTGTAGAGCCTAGCAGAGCAAACCTAATTTTCTTGAATTTTTTTCCTTTTTTTGCAAAAACTACCGTGTCCAAAGTTTAAAAGCTGTTATTCGTAGGTCTTTTAGTAAACCACGCTCACATTTTCAAACACTGTTCACATCTTATAACGTAAATCGATAAAATTACTGTACCATTCCTATTGACGCTTGTTGTAGGAAATCTCATCGACGCGGGTTGCTTCGCATACACGAGCATATATCTCACTCTTACTAGATCACAATTTGTGACTATGTATTGTGTCATCTGTCCATCGCAATTTTGATCGGAAAGTAGTTTCTTACTTTTATCATCTTCGTAAATACCGTCTCCTGTATTAAAAATTAAAAATATAGATAATAGATTTCACATTTCTACGATGCTAAATAAAATGTTACGGGTGGCTTTGACTGCGATGGCCCAGATTTAAACATTTGGCGAGGTTTAAATCTTGACTTGATAACCCGTCGACAATAGCTAGACTTTAATGAGAGGGGCCGTCTCCAGGCTATTAAACTGTGACGCCCTCAAGCCTACGCTTACGAATCCCGTAAGTATTTTAGCTGTTCCCTCCTATTTAAGGCGTGTGTGACGGACTGAAATCACTGTGCCACTCACGCCACATTGTTTCATCGTCGAACACTGCCCCATTGCAAACGTCGGTGTTTCAACACGTTAAGAAAAGGTACCTATTTTAAGCAGAGCGATAACTGTACGATACCCAGGTATGAATCCTGCTGGATATCATCCACAGCCTTTAATAGTCCACTGTTGGAATATCCGCTGCTGCCTCTCCTTAGAAAGGAGGTTTTGACCTACTATAGCACGCTGGCCAGACGTGTTGTTATAGGGTGTGTGTCAACTTTGCCTTGTCTTTGCAGTGCTGTTGTCTTGCGTAGTTTGCTCCCTTCGTCGGCTCTTAAGACACCCACGGGATGAATAGGGGTGGTGACACTCCGTATTCTTAATCCGCCACCATGGACATACACTAAGGATATTATTTTGATAGATTTACACTTGGAGAATTGTTTGCGTGAATGCAAGCGACAAATATCTACTTTGGATAGGAAAGTAAGATTTTAATAGATTTAAAAATATATAAATAATTTTGACTAATGTTTCATTAACTAAAAATCATATTACACTAAAATAACTTAGATTCTTTAAAATAGAAGAAAGTACTTCAGTATTTACCTTTCACCACTGTTTATACTACTTTACGACTTCTACTTTTTTAAATAAAAAACAACCACACCTTCATTTGAAATAGGTTTCTGGTAATTGATGCCTTCTGGAGCGTCAATGACTTCACACATGGCTATGCAAGACAGATGACCACCAATGCAGCTGGCGCCCCATCCGAAGCCTCCGTGGCTATAGGGCAAGCTTATATTGAGGTCGGGCGACAAGTAGACGCCGTTTCCTAGCAAAGTGTTCTGCACATAAAAAAAAAAAGGATTAACACTTGTATTTTAATAAGAGTCTGTATGTTTAGTCATACTTAAGTAATATAATTAAATAGGTAGATAAATAAACCTATACCTACAAAGCATAAAATTATGTTAATGAATTGATCAAAACACCACGGCCTCAACTCAACACAAACACCTAACAAATATCTTGGAAGAATAAAACAAGATTAATACATGATTAGATTTCTGAGTTATTCTGAAACACCTAAAGGTCAAGGATCTTTCCTTCATCTGCTTAGCAACATGATATAACTACTACTAAACGCCAATACCTACATAGGTAGCCAAAGAAACAAGCTAAAACACGTTATCGGGGCTGAAAAATTTGAGGGTTTCCCTCGATTTGTCTAGGTTCCAATCATCAGATCCTGATTAGGTGGTAATAGGACTACCTCGGGAGTATACCCTTAAGATTCCAAAAAAAAATTGAAAATCGGTCGGCAATTGACGGAGACAAAAAAAATGTTACATTCGAACTGAGACCGGTAACTACATTTATTTACTTATACTTTATGCCCAAATGTGACACAGGCGGACTTAATGCCGTAGGCATTTTCTACCAGTCGACCTTAGGGCGATGCAGAGTTAAAAACTACATCACGTTAGTAACTACATCAACTAAACAAGATAATCCTAATGCTGCTTAAAAGACTCATCTGACCTACAGGGTCTGCTAATATTTGTTTATTGTAGAGGATCTCCAACAAAAGATGTACACAATAAAATCACTACATACTCGTACAATAAGGTTTCGGCTGGTGCACTCCTTCAATTATAGAATGCGTTATTTTTGTATGATGTAAAGACAAGTTGATGGTTCAAAGATAATTCAACGTTGACTGTGCAATGAATTGTTGTTTTATGAATGTAAAATTATTATATCGTCTCAAACGGTTTAAAATTATTCTTGATGCACAGTAGGGAATTTATTTCTTTCGTCGTTGTTGTTTATATTTCGATTTAGAAACTTAAGCAATTTTAGGAGTCATAGCGACTGATAAAACCTGAACAAAGCCGCGGAATACGGAGGGCGCTAAAGTATGAGAATTGAGAATGACACGCCTACGTTAAATTTTTACTTTATCTGTCAACGACAAAATTGTTGTTATTAAAGATTACAATGGATACGAACTAGTTAGCTACCACCAGAATTTTTACAAACAATTATTACAGACTTACCTTATTCAGGTGCTGTTGGAGACCGAAATTTAAAATAGTATAAAAGTTCTCTAATCGGTTGCCATGATAAGCGTAAAATATGTTATGGTTCTTAGACAGGTCTTTCCATTTGGTTTCTGCTATTGATTTAGAGGAGCTGACTACTTGGAATATATACTGTGGTTTCGGCGCGGAAATTGTAGAATGCGTGTTCAATAAGACGGCTTCATGCTGAATGCAAAAAAAATAATTAAAATATTATTGAAAAAATAATATTACAGTCATGAAACTCCTTCCTTCACTTGGTTATGCTTACGAAGGTTTTATTAGCTGTGCTCAACTGTGATGAATGAGTGCACTATTATTAACATTGCACATAGCTCTTATATTTATATAATACTAGCTTTTGCCCGCGGCTCCGCCCGCGTGTATGTCGGTTATCGCGGTAAAAAGTAGCCTATGTTACTCAATAATAATGTAGGCAATGTTTAATTGATGAAACATTAAAAAAATTGTTATTTAGGCCTAAGTCCTAACACACAATAAAACTCACTTACATTTATAATGTAGGTAAGTATGAATTTTTATTCAATTGTAACTAGGTCTTCCGCTACAAATCTCGTAATGTATTTATTTATTTATTTAGTTATTTTATTTTAATTCTTTATGCACAAGTGTGAGTTGTACAAGGTCGGACTTACTGGCCACAGGCATTTTCACCCAGTCTACCTTTTAACGCGGTGCTGAAATCTGTGGCTAAGGTGCACTAGACATTGATATGTGAAGTAAAAGAACATTATTGATAAGTTAGAAACAATGCGATCAATATACATACATACGTACCAAATACATACACATACATAAATACTTACCTAGTTACAGACATATATAATCCTACATAATAATAATATATAAAACTTTAAGGTTGTAATGAATCTGCTAGGATGTCTAGAATGCGGGCGAGGAGGACTGGGGCGCAGTGCTCTCTTTCTGTGAAGCTGTAATGCTCCAGAAAGACCGCTGAACGGGATCGGCAGAGGGCTAATCCGAGCGTAGAGGACGTCGGCGGCGATACCAGTCGTCGACGGGGCCGTAGGCTGCCAGAGAGTGGTGCCAGATTAACTGCCTCTGGTGGCAGATTAACTGCTGCGCTAGGCGATAGGATGGCGGCCTGGTCGCAAAAATGCGATCGAGCCCCAACATATTATAAGGATTGGGCCGATAGGCGGGGAAGCCAGTGGCTTCCCCGGGATCGGGCTTTACTTTACTAAGCGCGGCGTCGATCCGGGGGACCTGAAATATCATGGTCCGGGTCCTCCTCGGAGTAGGGCGCCTGTGTCCGGCCGTCGGGGTGGTTTTTAGTGGAAACACCACATACTCCTGGCTCCTACATCCCCAAGGAGCCGGAGATACGAAGGGATTTTCCAACCCGTCAACAAAGAAAGGGTATGCAGAATGCGAGATCGAACTATCATCTTGAACGTGAGGTGGCTGGGTGCTATCATGATTTCGATAGGAAGAGTAATTACTCGCGTGTGCTTTTTTAATGCAGACTTGCGCTGAAGTCTAAAGGATAATTTTTAACTGTATTCCTATTGTTGTAAAGAATAAGGACTTATTTTGTAAAATAATAATCGGCCATTAAAATTATCTTAATTGTCTACTTAGTCTCAGTGCTCAGGGGGTATCCTAAAATAAAAATAAAATACCCAAAGGTTTTTTAAGGCAAAAAATTGAGAGCATATAGCTCTCAAACAAATCTTGTAAACCTGTTTCCAAGGGAAGTATCAAGTGGAGTATTAAAATGAACAGTTTTATAAGAAGTTAATTTGTCAGCTTTGTTTTAATTTTTGAGAGTATAATATGATATTTATTAATGAATACCTACATATTTTATCTAACTGTAAATTTCGGCATTTTGTGTTATAGTGTAGAATATTTTTTAACCGAACCGAGTTAAAATAGCAATAGATTAAAGAACACATACCACATCCGCAGGTACAGTCTTCAGAGTAGGCTCTTTTAATCTCACAAGTACATAGAAGAGCAAATCAATAATATCACTCATATTCGACAAATTATCTAAATTATCTAGTTGCTCTAACACCAAGTCTAAGGCCGGGACATCAGTAACAACGCTTAGCTAAAATAAATTGAAATCTTTAAATTTACACGCCACTTTGCTGGGAAAAACAGTATTCTGAACTGTTCAATAGCAGTTAAGTTCAAATGATTGTTAGTATCCGGTAACTTAAAATAAAAAAAACAAGGTTAAAAACGTACTAATTCATCCATATCTTTAACGCCACTTTTCAAGAAAGCTGGTGGAAACGGTCTGAGACAGCTTTCGTATCTAAAACTGAACGCTGCCGCTACAAACAGACTCCATTTTATATCTGCGGCCTTAAAATCCTTTTCCAATACTAGTCTGGAAGTCAAAATAATTATAACTAATATAAAGTTCTAAGAAGGATAAACAGAAGTTAAACTAAATATATTGTTAAGAAAAACTCCAAATTATATTATTAAATAAAGCATATAATAAGTTTAATTCAAATGGTTTGGTGGCTTAACGAATTCCTCTATGCTTATTCTTCTAATATAAATGCATCACTTGATGTTAATGATTATGAAAAAAGAACTGATAACCTTAGGTGAACAGCCTTCTTCTCCAACGTATCTAGTCTAGCTTGGGTATTATCTGATAGTGTTTCAGATGCTGGTGGTAGGTTGCAGTTAGTTGCCGTATCAGATAAAGCTTCAGGCTCGCCATCCATGTTTAGTGTTTTGCTCGCTCTAATGATATGGATAAATATATTGATATCAGAATTATTATATTGCAGGCATAATTTTGAAGGCTTTCAAATAAAGGTGTTCAACATTTTATTCCATTATGTAAGTCAACAATAAAATTGACAAAATAAAAAAAAAACAATAGCCGAACGTCGTGCCGGCTAGCTACTTATTTATGTGTTAATGTAGGTTTCATGTACCCTCTATTGTATGTTTAGTTGTCTCCAAAATTATATTATTAGTTATCATTTGAGATATTTTAAGTGTCGGTAACTTAAAAACTTTCAAAATGGGCCGAAAAACATGAAAATGACTACAAGTCAATTTAAAATAAACATCGGTTAAGTAGTAGCCCAAGAGCCCACGACGGCCAGACCTTCGTTATTTTATAAAAGCTGAAAAATTTTCTGTGCAGTTCATTGCGAGAATGCCAAGAAGTGGGTACAGGGTTAGTGGTCTTCTGTAAAACAACCGTTGATCTTGCAGTTCGGGATGAATATGTAGATGACGATGATGAGTTGGGTGATCGAAATAAGCTATGGGTTGAGGACGGTGATGGATGATTAGAGAAGACTGAATGTTCTGATTGTGTGTTACCAAATGAGGGTGAATTGAGTTGATCGGCGTTGCACTGCACTGTTAAATGTGCTAGTGCTTGACAAGCTTGATATTCTTCTTGTCATGGATAAAGGGCGAGTTGGAGGGATAGAAGAGGATAATGCTTTTGTATCATCGCCCGAGGAATGGGCTGTGATCTTAACGTCATGAGTGTAGTGAAGAGAGCCCGCCTGCTCAACGTTCCACCACCAATTGTTCGCATGCTGTAGCACCCAGCATCAGCTTTTGATGCGCCCCGGCGGTCACCGAGAAGCGACCGTAAATTATACTTCTTCTTCTCAGTTTCCTTAAAGTGCGCCATTAAATGGGTTTGGTTTTCCATTATTGGTTCTAATCGTTGATTTTAATATAAGAAAACCGGTCAGGTACGAGTCGAACTCGTGCGGCGAGGTTTCTGTACCTGCCCAGTTTTTACGTAGATTTTAAGAAAAGAAACGTTTTACAGCAAAAATAAAGGAATAATTCCAAAAAATAAAAAAAGTTGAAAATTAAGGTAAATTTTGGTACTTACAAATTTTTGCGAAAATCGAAATTTGCCCATATCTTTTTATCCTGTTGACTGAGGACCTTGATTTTCATACACCTAATAGGGACCATAGACCTTAGTATCTGGTAAAAAAACATTCTAGGTCTACCTGTTCCTGGGAAAATTGGTGGTGACGCATGGACAGACTGACAGACGGACAAGAAAGTGATCTTATGAGGGATTCACCTCTGATTCCAATTTTGCAAGGCGAGCGGCCTGCAGAATTAGAATCGGAGGTGAATCATATAAATTGGCATATTTTGGGGCTGTCAGAAGTCCGAAGACAGGGGGAGAAAACCATAACGATAGATAGAGATAGATAATTCTCACATAGACAGGGAGACCAACCATCCCAAGGTGGCTTCGGATTAATGGTCCATAAATCGCTTAGAAGCAGCTTGGAGAAAGTTGGCAGTGTCGTCACGGGTAGCGTACCTTGTCTTAAAACTATTCAAAAGTATTCCTTGAAGATTGCACATGTGTATGCTCCCACAACTACACATTCTGACGACGAGGTCAAAGCCATGTACGAAGACATTGTTGATGCTCTGTCTCGTACCAACACTTCGTTCACACAAAGTGGGAGTACAGGAATATAGTGAATCTATGGTAGGACCACTGTGTGTGTTTGTCAAACTTCCTCGAGGCCCAGGGTCTCTGTCTGGTGAATACTTTCTTTCGGAAAACCCCCTAAAGGACGTGGACCTGGCTAAGCCCCAATAGCACGACGAGGAACGAGATTGACTCACAAACAAACGTCAAATATTCAGAAAAGTCACTGTGATCAACAGGTTCAATACCGGAAGTGATAACCGACTCGTAAGAGGCATCTTAAATTTATGCACTAGAACAGAGCAGGTTCCCCTGATGAAGTCGACTCTTAAATCAACTCTGCCTCAGGTTGAGGCTGGATGTGAAAGCTTCCAGCTGGGACTTCGGAACCGGCTCACCATGTTGGAAACCACGGACGGTAGTAAACGACGCTGCCGATAGCCTGTTACGTGTCGTCCGCTAGTGGATTCTAATAACTTTCGACCAAAGAGCATTGGACGCAAGTCGAAGCTCACCAGCAAGACTGGACCTTATGAGGAAAAGACGAGAGACAGTAAACGCCACACTATCTGAGCGGCAGGAACTTAACAGGCATGTAAAGAGGCTTGTAAGACGAGATATAATAATCGAGCAATTGAGGACGCGATTGCTCGTGATATCGGTTCAAAAGTTTTTGCCTAGCCTAAGGCCTCCTGTTTTCTCCTGTCACAACTCAAAAGAGCACAAGGCGTGACAGTTACCTTTAAAACAGAGATTCTCGCTGAAGTCGAAAGTTTTATGGGGATCTATACACTTTATGACCCCGCCCATCCGAAACTGACAGCGCGGATGACCTGCGTGATGACCACCACACAGACGAGTTTTCTGAAATCGATCTTGGCGAGATTAGAATGGCACTCGGACAACTCAGTAACAACAAAGCTCCGTGTGAAGACGGATCTACAACGGAGCTCCTAAAAAGCGGAGGAACTCCTGTGTTAGTGGAGCTCTCAAAACTGTTTAATTCCGTCATTCGTACTGGCACTACACCGGAGGCGGCGGCTGGAGCGTCGTAGTACTATTCTTCCAAAAAGGAGACAAAACCCTACTGAAGAACTACTGCCCGATGGGGCAGTACTTCTTCAGTAGGGTTTTGTCTATGTGAGTGATATGAGAGTGATATGAGTGATATGCACTCCTGAGCCATTTGTGTTTGAGGGTCGTTGCGAATAGTCCGTGAGCCAGCAACTGATTTTTATGACCAAGTTCCTCTCAGTCGTTAACTCGTAAAATACTTCAAAGAGTTGTATCTTAAAGCGCTGTGATCGTCGGCTGCGGCTCTGTGGGTGGATTGAGCAGTGGTAGCCGCCCACGCACGTAATAAACAAATATTTCTAATCATCTCTACTGAAAATCATCCCTACTAAAAACACATCCCATCTAAAAAAAAAAAATTGAGGTTGTGGATCATAAGTCAGCTGGTTGCACGAACATGAAACAAATATATTTAATATGTTTTTAGTGATTTCCTTACAACTGAAAATTTATTAGGTGATAGTTTATCGCTACCGTTACATCGCTAGTAAAAAACAATAAGAACTGTCTCCTTCGCTTCATGCTCCTCTATTATAATGTATCTCATGTTGGGGCGAGGCAGCGAAGACTATTCTCATGCCATTGGATGGAACCCCAATCCTTATATAGCTACTTTGTTTCCTACAACGGAGCTATATAAGGATTGGGGTGTTCTAAACATAAGACAACATTTTATCCTTCACGTAGTCTGATAACAGAATCGCAAAACCCCGTAAATAACATTAGCAAAACGCGGGAAGGATACAATTTATGTACACTTCCACAGACACCAACATCCTTTATTAGAAGATTCGCATATTTCAATCCATGTAGGCCCATCCCTCTATAATACACTAAGTAGGCATTCTCCAATATATGATCTACCATACTACAACTGTAGGGAAATAGTGTATTCGTACCTTCAAAATAAAAGTTATGATGACACTGAGAAAATGATAGCAAAATCGTCGTAACTATTCATACATGCCCAATTAAACTTACTCACACTGCGCAAATACGCCACATATGCTACACAGGTACTCAAACACAGACACGCAACATAACACATATTCACCAATAATACACACACACACACACACACACTATGCACATGCACACATACATACGTGCACGCACATGAACGCTCACGCATTTGTACACGTAGTCAGTTTTTATAAATAATTTCTTGAAAAATATTAACATCAAAAAATTGTTAACATCAAACTATTGCTCGTAAATTGTAGAACATAGCTGGCTTAAAACTACACAAGTTATAAGATTTAAGTACTTACTTCACGTACTAAAACTTTTATCATAAATAAAGATTAACATTATTATAGTTTATATGTTCATCAACAGCCTATAACAGTCCATTGCTGGACATAGGCCTCTCCTTAGAAAGGATGTAACTGTTAATAAATAAAAAGTCAGCTGGGTATATCTAGGTGGAATGCTTGACAGATGATGTACTGAAAGGTGTATCGCAGGAGCCAGCCGGAAGCATCTATTGTCTATTAAAATATAACGAGTTTTCCCCCGGAATACTGCCAGCTGATTTTTTTTGCTACTTACAGGATCATGACACTAATCAGCATACGAATTATCATCCGGGAGGAAATGACGCATCAGTTGTTATTCAACATTACATTTAATGCGCTAACTGAATGATTTAATTTTATTGAAACTTTACAATTCATAAAATGTAAATAAATATCTACTGTGATAAGAAAATCAATTAAATTGTAATTTATTGCAACTTAGTGGTATTATCTGAGTGTTACTCATGGCGCGGCGTAAACGGCAACATTAAAGACTGTAGTCCCCAACTGAGAAGTCGAGATTTAACCCCCACATTAATATTTTACATGCACACAGACGCAACGCGCACTATTAGTATGCTACCCTCTACCCTGGACATTGATCAATCTACTTTCGGTTTTCGTGTAAGTACATATTCATTACCTCTTCGTCTTTGTAGATTGTTTATGAATGTCACAAAAAACACGCAATGTAACGCATCGCGAAGCTCATTGCGGGACGCGGGGCGGGTGATGCGCTCGGCTATACTTGACACGATGTCCTACTAACTCGATATCTTCAGATTTATTTGTTTGAGATTTAATCTACACACGATTTAATAAAAATCGAATTTATTTCCATGTATTATAATGTCAGTGTATTGTAAGTTTTTATGATTAATTGTAAAATTTAATACTGTAAAATAATTTTATTAAA